TTGTTTACCCACTTCTTTTACATGCTCAAGGTTTTGTCCTAGTTATATCAGTTCTGGTGTAATCTGTGCAGGTGACAGCTTCTCGGTTGCTGCTGTCAAAGCAAACCATTCCCCATTACTATTTGACTGTTGATACATGTGTCGACAAACTTATGGAGTGAGTATTATTTTTCATTTCACAACAGCAGAATTAAACTTTCTGTTATTTATGTTGCACGCTGCTCGGTCTGCAGATTGAGGAGCCAGCTCAATTCATTGCAAGAGGCTTCAGGTGGAAAGAAGTTATCTGTTAATGATCTTGTAATAAAGGTATGAAACACTCCATTAAGATCCACCGTGCCACCCAACAAGGAGAAAGGAAAAAGAAACCAATGGTCTTTTTATCTCGTCAGGGAGACAATTCTGGCCTTCTTTCTGTAATTCGTGGAGGGTCCAGAAAAGAGAGAAAAAGTGACTATTCATGGACCTCTGTGTAAAAGTGGAGCTAGAATCTCATATATTCTCTCATAAGAAATCTTGAAAACTCCTTACTGGTTTGCTTAATCGCTGCAGCTTGTCCCAAAAAAAAACCGTTACTCCCCTGTCACATTATATATGAGGCTAGAACTATTTGGGAAGTCAAACATCTTCTTTGGCTACATTTTCTGGACGATAATACATTTTTTAACTATGAAAATTGTAGTTTTCTTTTTATAGGAAAAAATTTGTAACTTTCAGTAATACTTTTAATATAGTTTCTAAATATACCAATATTATTAAGTTGGAGAAACCACTGTCCAAATAGTATGGGGTGTATAAAACATAGTGAATCAATTATCAGTGATGATGTGTCTCAAAGAGAGATGACCTGGGTAACTTCATTGCAGGCTGCTGCTTTGGCTCTTCGAAAAGTTCCTCAGTGCAACAGTTCATGGACCAATGACTACATTCGCCAGTAAGTTAAATATGAGAAGACTTCTATAGTTGAAATTTGCAGTGGATATTAATAGTGCATTATTTCTTGCAAACACAGGTATCACAACATAAATATCAATGTAGCAGTGCAGACCGATAATGGGCTTTACGTTCCTGTCGTCAGGGTTTGTTCTCATCCCACTCTACTGCACTACAAAAATTGGATGTTTCTTGATTCTTACTATCAGTTATATTTTATCTTGGAAAAATTCATGTTGTCAGGATGCTGATAAGAAAGGTTTATCCACTATTGCCGAGGAAGTAAAGAGCTTAGCCCAGAAAGCAAAAGAGAACAGCTTAAAACCACAGGATTATGAGGTGTGCATTACAGTTGTTAAATATCTTCTTTGCATAGTTAGATTAAAGTATATTTATTCAATCACTTTTTTTTTTTTGTAGGGAGGGACATTCACCGTCAGCAATTTGGGAGGGCCTTTCGGCATTAAGCAGTTTTGTGCCATTATAAATCCTCCTCAGTCAGCCATTCTAGCTGTTGGGTCTGGTAAGTTTGCGTCTCAGTGGTTTGATATATTTTAGCTTGTGATATCTGTGCTCATCGTCATTGCTTAAACAGCTGAGAGAAGGGTGATACCTGGTACGGGCCAAGACCAGTATGAGTTTGCCAGTATGATGTCTGTAACCTTGAGCTGTGATCACCGGGTGATTGATGGTAAGTGGCTTGACTGCCTATTAACAGTTGATCTTCCTCTTTTGGAATCATGGTTAAACCTTTAATGATTTCAATTGATACCTTTGTCCAGGCGCGGTTGGTGCAGAATGGCTCAAAGCATTCAAAGGCTACATAGAGAGTCCAGAGTCTATGTTACTGTAGACTGATACTTCCTTTTCGTCTTGTCTTTTGAACTCTTCACGTTTTCCTCAATTAGCCGGATGAAATCTAGATGTATGATAAATGGGATTTTATGTGCCATGGCCTGATTTTATTGCTTGATATAAGCATCTTTACTAGGGAAAATGGCTAAACGACCTAAGAATAATGAGGCTGCAAGGCCATGTACCATTGATTTAGTCTTTCCCTCACGCAGAGTGTATAAACAAGTTTTTGCTCGAGGTCATTGAGTTGATCATCTGTCTGAATAAGTGGAATACTAGCTGGAAATTCATTGTTTTAATAAGATTCACTGAACTGTTAAGGCAGAGATGCTTCAACACGAGGCTGTTGCTTGAAGCCATGATTATCTTCTTTACTAACATATGCCATGCCAGTTCTGTCTGTTACTTTCGATATGTCTCTCCTCAGATAGAATTGAACCTTGTGGGTAATTGCCGTAGAGGTAGTTTACAGAAAATTTTGGGGTATATGATGGTAAGAAGATATTGGTGGAAGACTGAGGTAAAGAAAACAAACACCTCTCTTGCGATCCGCTCCACTTGATTCTAAGATGTACTTCAGCTTCTTCAACTAAGGACGAATTAGCAACTAGGATCAATGCTGCAGATGCTTTAGATCAGCTGGACAATGAGACATCATGTAGCAAGATCATATTGATTCTTGGGCCAAGATCCAACCCCCCATATAATGTCAGCTCGCAAGAGATGGTGTAAAAAATTAGTAAAAATTGCATGGGACGCTCTATTTGGTCGTCCCCTTTTAACTTATACCCGTTTTATTTTTCTGTTTGCATCCGTACCTAATTTTTGTTAGAAGCGTTTTAAAAAGACAATTTTGCCCTTCTTTAATAAAAGACTTTTGACAAATTGCAGGACAAAAACTTAAGCATGTTTAGGATGAAGTTTTAGCAAATGAACTAAAAAACTTCAGCTTGTTTAGATTGAAGTTTCGGATAAAACTCAGGACAAAACTGTAGACTGCGTTACAAAATTTCAGCATATTTTGGTATGAAGTTTTAGCAAATGAACTAAATAACTTCAGCATGCATTAACAAAAACTCAGTAGAAATTACATACTGCAAGACAAAAACTTAAGCATGTTTAGTCTAAAATTTTAGCAAATGAACTAAAAAACTTAAGCATGTTTAATTTGAAGTTTTAGCAAATGAACTAAATAACTTCAGCATGTTTAGGCTCAAGTTTCGGATAAAACTCATGACAAAATTGTAGACTGCAGGATATATAACTTCAGCATGCATTAGCATGAAGTTTTAACTTCAATGTGAAATAACTTCATGCTACATTAGCATGAAGTTTTAGCTTCAACGTGAAACAATTTCATGCAAATGTGATTCTAATGATGAATCTGGATAAGTTTCTAATTATTTATAAAGTTGTTGAGAGGAGAGGAGATCTTTTTTCACGAATGAGGTTGCAGATCACGAGATTAATGCGTGATGTAAGTTTTATATCTTTTGTCAGGGGTATAATTGTCATATTATTACGGATTTTTTGTCAGCTGGCTACCAAATCAATAATTTTTTAAAATAGGGTATAGATTAAAAGGTAGCACAAATATAGGGTAGGACTGCAAACCCCCCTCAAAATTATTATTTAAGACCACCTATATTGGATAGTCAAACTTCTCTATCACAGCCTCGTGTATTCTGTATTTTTTGACTGCTATAATAAAATATTGTTATAAAGGATATATATTATTATAACATGACATAAAAAATCGATTTGGAGAAAAGCGTAATTTGTTATAGAGGTTTGACTGCATTTTCTAGTCGGTTAGAAGTCATTTATATTGGAACCACTGAATTCGTAAGATAAGGATTCCTTACCCTTTCCTTTCTGATTGAACAAAAAATATAAATATCTCATCCACTTTCCCTTATTAGTTCCCTTGTTTCCTTTGTCAAAGCAAGTCTGTACAAGTTAATATAAAAGGGCAATCCCTGACCAGACTATTATGTTAAAGAAGCAAAATAAATTTAATTAAACGCTCACGTGTCAATATTTTTCCATCTTCTTTTTGTTAATGATTTTTAGAAGCTAAAGGAAGTACATCAAGATTATATGTAATGGCACAATAGGTAAAGACCCCCTAAATTTGGCATTTTTTAATAAGTGTACACCTTAACTACACGTGATTTTAATTACCTCCCTATGCTTATTTTTTCGGATTTTATTACCCCCATAAGTTAGTAAACCTCTCTATCGTGTATACACGCGTCGTATACATATAAATGCTTGCTGATATGGCTGTACACGTTGGAATAATTCGGGTATCCAATTAAAATACCCGACCCGCCTTGAAAATTAATCCCTCAAATTTAACCCATCCCTTTTACCAACGTTCATTTGATCGATAACATAGAAAAACTAGGGTTCACCACTTCACTCCCATCATCAATGACAGAGACAATTGTGCGTTCTTGAGCTTGATTTTGTGAGTCGATAGGATTCTCCGTTGAGGTACTGCTAAAAGCTACTGTGGAGGAGCTAAAAGCTACTGGGTATCTTTGATTCTCGCCAATATTTCTACCGTTTTCACTCTGAGTTTGAAGGTATGCGTGCCTCTTTCTGTTAGGGTAAAATCAGGGGTTTTATGTTGATTGTGACTTTTGCATGCATGCCGATTAGGGTAAAATTAGGGCTTTTATGTTGTTTGTTAATTTGTGGGGGTCTTTACCGATTACTGTTTATTTGTAATTTTCTGTATATAATTTTACAAACTTCTATCTTGAGAGTTGTTTTTTCCTTTTTCTTATTGCTATGTAGGGTCCCATGGATACTGAATCTAAGATGGAAAATTGGTGGGATATTGGTGAGTGAGGTAGGACCTCTATATGTTGGGGGTAGGGTTGAACATGTGACTAATGTCGACTGTGACCACTTGTCAATACCAGAGTTAGTTGATTATGCTAAGGATTTTGGGATTACAAAGTTAGGAAAAACTTATATTATGAGTGCTAAGGGTGGCATTTTGGTTGAATTAACAAAAGATAGGGATTAATATACCTTGCTATATTATTAAACAATGGAGACACAATAGACATTTTTGTCTCTTCTGACGCACAATTTGAGGAGGTGGATGCTATAGAGGGTAGCCAAATAAGCCACGTGGGTGAGCCTTTTAATGCATCTTCTAGCACACAACAAGACAATAGGGAATCTTTTGTTCCTTGTGGTCCTCCTTTAAATACTATTGCTGCAAATTCAGATCTAGGGTTACCTACTCCTTTGAATACCACTCAAGAAGAGGATTCACCCATAGATTGGACTTCCTCTTCAGAGGAAGAAGAATCTGTTGTTGTTGCTGATGATGTAGTAGACATTGCTGCTGATTCTCAACAAGTAGAACCAGCTGGAGAAGAAGAAGAAATATGGTTACCTACTCCTTTGAATACCACTCAAGAAGAGGATTCACCCATAGATTGGACTTCCTTTTCAGGGGAAGAAGAATCTGCTGCTGCTGCTGATTCTCAACAAGTAGAACCAGCTGGAGAAGAAGAATAAATAGCATCTGGTGATGAATCCGGAGGTCATTTGATTGTGGAAGTGATGTCCATGAAGAGTTAAGGGTTGTTAAAGAAGATCTAAAGAAATATAGACAAAAGAATAGGAGAAAACTTAGGAAGGAAAAACCTGATGGATCTTTAGGTGAAGTTGGAGTTGATGAAGGTTATGAAAACATAGATCAACCCCAAAAAAATATGAGTGACAAATTAGGAGGTGATGATGAGCCTTACTATGATAGTTCAGATCCATATAGTTTTGAATCTGAATCAGATCTGGAAGAGGAGGGTGATCCTGTATCTGATGATGATGTAGATGATATGGGACATTTAAGGGGAAGGAAAAAAACAAATAGAGTGTCTTATAATCCTTCTGCCAAAATTGTTACTTGGCAATTAGGGATGGTATTTGAGAATGTGAAGGAATTTAGAGAAGTAGTTACCAAGTATGCTATAAAGAAAGGTATTCAGCTAGTTAAGGATCCCAATGAGCCCCATAGAGTCAGAGTTAAATGCAAAACTGATTGTCCTTGGTTGTTGTATGCTAGCAGGGAAGGTAGGAGTACGAACTTCACAATCAAGACTTACAATCCAAGACACAAATGTCATAAAACCACTTACAACTATCTGTGTAATTCAAAATATGTGGCAAAGCAGTTCAAAGATAGAATTACCTCACAACCTAGAATTAAAGGTTGGGAAATTCAGGATATGGTGAGAAAAAAGCTTGGTTTTTATGTTGGTAAGGTTGTTTGTTTGAAGGCCAAAAAGATTGTGTTGAAAGAGATTATAGGGGATCATGTTGCTGAGTTTGGTAGGATTCTGAACTATAGGGATATGCTACTCAAAACAAATCCTGGTAGCACATGTGCAGTAAAATTGACAGACACAGATGATGGGAAGAAGTAGTTTGCCAATTTCTACATTTGTTTTGCAGCGATGAAACATGGGTTTATGGAGGATTGTAGGAGATGTATAGGGTTAGATGGATGTTTTTTAAAGGGTGTTTGTAAAGGGCAACTGTTGGCAGCAGTAGCAAAGGATGTGAATAACGAAATGTTCCCAATAGCTTGGGTTGTTGTAGGCACTGGAAAAAAAAAGCAAACATGGAATTGGTTCCTCAGGCTATTGCAAACTGATTTGAACTTGGGAGATGACAGGGAACTCACCATGATAAGTGACATGCAAAAGGTATGTAATATTGTTTTTCTATTTTTTTGTTGTTTAAATACTACTATTTTTCTGTTTTTTTGCTGTTTAACTACTACTGTTTTTCCAGTTTAAAACACTGTTGTTTTTCTAGTTTAAGTATTACTGTTTCTCTGTTTTTATGCCGGGTCTATGTTCAGCTGTTGAAGAGATTTTACCTGAATGTGAGCACAGAATGTGTGCTAGACACATTCTGGCAAACTGGGCTATAAAATGGAGAGGGATTGAAAGGAGAAAAAGATTCTGGAGTGTTGTTAGATCAACATTTGAGTCTGAAATGAAAAGAAAACTAGATGATCTTGATAAATTGGGTCATAACATTTGTGAAAACCTAGTTAAATACAACAAAGAAAGATGGTGCGAAGCATTCTTTCAAACATTCTCCAAGTGTGACAGTGGTGACAATAACATGTGCGAAAGCTTCAATGCTTGGATATTGGGCCCTAGACACAAGACAATCATATCAATGCTAGAGGAAATAAGGGTCAAAGTTATGATTAGGGTAGCAAAAATGAGAGAATTTGCTGAAACTTGGCAGGATGGTGTATCTCCAATGGCCATGATAGTGTTCAATACTAATGTTAAGAGGTCAATGAGGGTTGAATTCATGTTTAATGGAGATACTGGATTTGAACTCAAAGATGGTCCATGCAAGTTCATTGTAGATTTAAGAACAGGTTATTGCAGTTGCAAGTCTTGGGAACTTAAAGGCATTCCATGTCCACATGCTGTAACAACAATTTACTTCAAGAGACTTGATCCTTCAGAGCATATTGTACACTGGTACAGGAAAGAGACCTATATGAAGGCATATTCACACTTCATACAACCAGTTCCCAACATGATAATGTGGCCAGAAAGTAGTANATTTGAAATGGAAAGGGAAGGAAGTTGTGACTCAAAGACAACTTCAAGTCCAAGCTGCAATGGCTAGAATCAAGACAAGGTCCCAACCCGGTGGAATACAAACAAGATCTAAGGTTATGGGAAAATCTCCCTCCAAGAAGACCACTTGAATTTCTTTACTGTTTGGATGTAGTATTTGATATACTAGACTTCTTTTTTTGTTGAATTCATGGGGTGGCTATTTTAGTTGAATTCATGGGGTGTTTGTTTTTTGTGGATACTCATGGTGGTACTAAACTTTATTTTGTGAACCTGTTTGTCATGTGTATGTCTAGCTGTATATGGACAACATAGTTTAACTCTATTGTTAGATGTTAAATTCCGACTTTCTTTGTCAAATTACCAGCTATGTTGACAAAATGTTGTGATTGTGTTTGGTTGTTTTTGTGGATAGCAGTGTCGAACAGCATATCATGTTGCTTAACTTCTATTACATACTACCAGATAACCATTATTTGTACATGAACAAAATCAAATTCAAAAGTAAACTGAAAAATAATAGAAACTTTAGCATTCTTTCCCTCTTCGATAGTTTGTTAGTCTTCTTCAACAATCCAGAAATAACAATGTTTGCTTGCTCCGGAAATGGAGGTTCATACCACTGAAAAAATCGACAAGAATTTTCTTCGGATAAAGACTACATCCAAAGAATCGTCGCCCAGGATATGCAGTAGTCCACGCAACTTTTAAAGGAGCTGGCTTGCCATATCTACAAAAAACATTCACCTTCTATCTTCCTGAAGACTTGGAAAGAAGCCAATAAATAGGGGTTGTTACCGTTGGGGGAAATTATTACCGTTAGGGATGGTAAATATTCAACTGATGTGGCAAAAAATATACTCCCCCACGCGCACTCAGCCATTTGAACAAACTTCCACTGCCATGTGGCATGTTAGGGGGGTAATAAAATCCAAAAAAGTAAGCATAGGGGATAATTAAAATCACGTATAGTTAAGATATACACTCATTAAAAAGTGTCAAATTAGGGGGATCTTTACCTATTCTGCCTATGTATTATTCATAAGAAGAATTTAATAACACAATTTCAAATCAGTCCTTCCTAATTCATTTTACGTCTCCGAGTTGAACCTCAATTTCAACGAAATCTTCCGCTATACCAAGACATAGACACGGTGTTCAAACTCAAAAGCAATTGCACATAATTCTACCAAAGAAAAGAGTGAAAAACAAAGAGATGCACCCCACTGCGGATTTATACACAACTCTGTTTGATCGGCCACGTAGCAACTAGCAACCTAATATCTCACCACAATAGCAAGACAAAGCGACTAACACCAAGGGGAAGAGAAAAATACATCTCGCCAAGAGACAAACACAGAGAGTTAACAACCAAAACTAGGAATCCCAGTGTAATTGCTGCTTTTTATTCCAATTTCAATCAACTCTGTACTTGGTAAAACAAAGCATACATATACGACGGCTCCATAAACAAAACCTAAAATTGATAATTATTTAAAAATGATGTTAGAGAAGTTGCACTTTTTTTTCGAAGTCGAAGAAAACTTAACATAACACACAACATAGAAAAAACTTTTACCTTCCCCCTTTATTGCAATATAACAATAGGACAAGACTTTGATATTATTAATGGATCAAGGCTTTAAACCTCTATGATAACATTGCTTTGTTTTCTCAAGCTTTTGAGGGGTTTTTCCCCTAATCTCATTGCGTTTGTCTCTTCGAGATTTTTAGTGTTCTCAACTGTGCTACTCGCGAGTGAACATACATGGCCTCTCATGGCATTTTCATAAGAAAAACTAAGGGGGTAATGCCCATGGAATCAGGACTCCAACTTGAGGGTCAATACTGCCTCTTGTCTCCCTTTGGACTTGGAGGGAGCGAGAGAGAGAGAGAGAGAGAGAGAGAGAGAGAGAGAGAGAGAGAGAGAGAGAGAGATTAGATGAGTGAGTGCAAAGAGTGGGTTCACAGGATGGGCCAGTAAGATATTGGGGAGGAATGGTTTGTTGGAAGAAAGAAACGGGAGCACACCATAGCCAGATAAGGTAATAACCAGACCCTCTATGACTATGAAAGGAAGAGGAAATGAGAGAGAACAGAGATCGAAAGATCCAGNAGAGTTACAACTAAACTGCAAGACCCTTTACTTTGGACCAGTTTTGTGATAAACTACTCAAATACCAAAAAGAAGAAAAACTGAGAAAGGGAACTAAAAACTAGCTGGAAGAGCACATGAATTCAGACACTTGATAACAGTCATTGCAAAAAAACTAACTCCATCCTAGCAGCACTAGCACATGAATTCAGAGACACTTAACAACAGTCATTGGAAATAATTGCCATCAGAAGGGGTGAAAAGAATCATTTCAAAGTCCCATCCTTTATCAAGGGCAAGGAACTCAAAGCCCTTGCGCAATTACCCAAACATCATATGGCAGTACAAAGAGCTGGAAACAAGAGAACCAATAACATTCGACAATAGGGAAATACACAAGTTAGTGTAGTGCAAGAAAGATGCTATTTTTTTCCAAAATGCCAGTCAGCTCCTCCAGAAAACGGAGTATAAAACTCAATTCTTCCATTTTATCCTATTTAGTAGATATCTAAGTCTACCACCATCTTAGCAGCACTAGCACATGAAATTCAGACAATTAACAACAATAATTGGAAAAAGAACTGCCATCAGAAGGGATGAACTCAGAATCATTTCAAAGTTCCATCCTTCGTGTATCAACAGCATGGAACTCAAAGCCCTTGCGCAATGACCCAAACATCATATGGCAGTACAAAGAGCCAAAACATATAGACAATAAGGAAATATGGAAGTTAGTGTAGAGAAATAAAAGATTGTGTTTTATTTTCTCAAAAGTGCCAATCAACTCCTCCAGAAAACAGAGTATCAAAGTCATTTTTCCTTCTTAATCCTAGTCAGCATATATCTAAGTCTACCACTCTTAGCAGCGCTAGCACACAAAACTCAGACACTTGAAAACAATCATTGAATAAAACTGCCATCAGAGGGGTGAACTCAGAATCATTTCATAGTTCCATCCTTTGTGTATCAGTGGCATGGAACTCAAAGCCCTTGCGCAATTACCCAGACATCATATGGCAGTATAAAGAGCTGCAAAACAAGAGAACCAAAAAGCAGCACTAGCACATGAAATTCACACACTTGGCAACAATCATTGAATAAAAATGCCATCAGAAGGGGTGAACTCAAAATCATTTCAAAGTTCCATCCTTTGTGTATCAATGGCATGGAACTCAAAGCCCTTGCGCAATTACCCAAACATCATATGGCAATAAGAAAGATATAGCAATAATACTCTGCCATACATAGTGCACTGTCCAGAAATCTATTTAAGAGAAAAACTTCTCACATAACTAAAACTTTTTGCTGATAAATACTCTCATGTATAGCAAATACACTGCTTAAATCAATAAAAATTCACATTACAGTCTCTTTGAACAGAAAGCATGAGGATGAGGCACAAGGCATCTTATGATAGCATTGATTCTTCTCCAATTAAGGTTAGCTAAAATTCAACTACTTGGTGCCCCAAGTCTTTCCACAAACACTGCACACATGTATATACAGATGCAATTAATAACTAGCAGACTTCTACTCGTGAGAACCACAATTAAATTCCATGAGGTTATTCACCAAATGCTAGAACTATCTGGAATCAGAAAGAAACTCTTCCACCACCAAAACAACTAGCTGGAGCATGCCATCAACATTGCAGCTAGCAGAAAGTTGATCAAATGCACGGTATCTACTGAGCACACTCTTCAATACAGTGACACTTGACAAGTACACTTGGAAAAAAATTTAAGCACGAAAATAGTGCATTCTATCATCTATATAAAACTTCAACACAAGGAAGGATCGACATAAAAAGAAGTAATGAAATAACCATATCAAGATTTAGTTTTGTCAACTTTATTGGAGAGCAAGTCTCCTCTAAACCTAATTTCAGCATATATATTCAATAAATATGTTTAAATATAACTAAAAAGCATGCAACTTTCATGCCAAATTACATTACTTCGCAGTGTGAGAATCACATTTCTCAAAGGTATCATATCAAAATTTTTAGAAACAAATAACAGCTACCAAAGATTGAGTGTCGACAAACCCAAAAGCAGCACAAATTCCTTAGATCGGCACATATCGTTTTAGCGCCTGTTTTCCGGTGACCCCCAAGCCAACAACCACGCCACCAATAACCCCAGCCACAGCCGCCGACCTCAGCCCCGCCGCCGCCCTGTAGAAAGCTCCAGTCCCTAATCCAGCAACCACACTGTTGATGACATCGTCCGTATCCCTAATAGCCACCATCCCACTCTCCATCCCAGCATAAAGCAGCCCAATGACGCCGGCCCGATTCCCAAACTTCCGTCCCGTGTGACCCGACCCGTTTAAGATTCTATTGATCTTAAGCTTCATGGTGTCACCTGGCTCCGAAGCTCTCACGCCGTCAACAAATCCTTTCCCGGCGCCAACAACGGCGCCGCCTAGATAACCGATGCCGGTGTAGTAGGTCAAATTTTCACCCCATGATCGACGCTGGGCGACGGATTCTTCCTGAAAAAGGAACTCCGGTGAAGTTGGAAGCTTGTAAAGTGTTTGAATTGGAACGTGTAGGTCTTGGTAAGGGTTATAGAGCCGGCGATTTTGGCCGTCGTCGTTTTCGCCGTTGTGATTAGGTGATTGGTGCTGATATGCCATTGCTCTTTGGGTTGGTCTAGGGTTAGGAGCTAGGGTTTTGGTTTGGCTTCAGAAAAAAAGAGATCGCAGAGAACCCAAGAGAGAAAGTGGGTTCCTTTTTCTTGAATATTACTACCACTTCAAAATGTGGCTTCGGTGTTTCTGCGGTGTTTTAATAAAATCGGACCGGTTCAAGTTTTTAGGTCGGCGGGTTAGGGAACCGGTTTTATGAAAGTGGGACTTTGACTGGTTCAATTCCATTGAATATTCCCATCCAATTCCCACCTTTGATATTCGAGTTTTTGACATAAATGATCCCTAGAGTTTAAGAGTTGGTCTCATCTTGTCCCTATTATAAACGAACATTGAACAAAAACAAGTTTTGGAAGCACTTTTGGTTTTCAAACTGAGAGAACACATAAAACAAGTTAAAATAAATGAAATTCGATCACAACCAAAAGTACATTGATATGTTTGACTATCTCCAACTTACTTTTTTTTTCCTTCATATTTTTGCGTATATAATATATGGGTAAAAAGGTCATTATTATCCCTGTACTTTTGAAATTCATGCACGTTCGTCCCCCGTTACATTTTACGTTCAATCTCCACTTTACTGTTAATAAAGTCTATACAAGTACCCCTAGCCCTAATGTCCGTCCAAGCGGCAGCTGACCCCATCTCTTTTTTCCAAGTCAGTTGCCAACTCAGCTGCCAATTGGGACTTCCACTAACTTATTAGACCTAAACCCAAACGTACTCCCAAATCTTATTGACCCGTAACCCGTAACCGAAAACTCATCAAATAAATAAATTAAACCCATCTGAAAACACCTTATTCACTCATTTGCTCGAACCTTCTGGTACTTCAAAGAAAAAAAGAGAATCAAAACCGGTCAGGATCCTTGCTTCCAGTAGCGATATCAAGTAAGGTAAGAAATTTTTCTCCTAAAAATTAATTTTTTTGTTAGTTTAATCTCTTATCTTGAGTTATCCCAAAAAAATTTCCGAAGAAAGTTTTTCGAATCCCTTTCAGATTTGTTCTTTGTTGGTTATGGTTTTCATAAACCCTTTTCTTTTTTCATTATTTGAAGTTGATAGGTGCTTGTAGTTGTCATAGGGTTTCTAATTTTTTCTAATTTTGTATTTATTGAAGTTATGGTTTACTAAATAGTTCTTTGTTGGTTAGGGTTTTCACTTCTCCTATCTTTGACGATAATTTCAAGCTGGTAGTGTGTGTTTTGCTTTTGTATTCACTTGCATGTGATTTTATAGTAATAAACCCTAATTTTACTCTTTTTGTTTGCATGTGCCTCATCTGGTATTGGAAGTCTTTTGGTGGTTTAGGGTTTCGATTATAATATTTTGTGGTCCCAAATTATTTTGTTTTTTTGTAGAAAAGAAGTGAATCATAATTTTAATATTGAAGGGTGGGGCTGGGACACTTTATTTCGTATAGTACTTTAATGTATGATCCTCATATCCATGGCTGCATATATTAGTTTATTAATGTTGACTTGCATTATTCAATTTGTGGCTGATTCTATTTTACTATCTTTATGCTTTATTTTAATTGTCCTTATTCTTTTTCCCAATCCTAATTTTCTCAGTACTAATTTATTCAGCAATTTATTATCAATGGTCCTGCTGGATTTGATCTTTCATTATGGTGGAGAGTGGGTCAATAAGTCACTCATAGCATACTCAAGAAAATTCTGACACATTAAGAAATGTTTTGACTCTGACTTGCTTTCCTATAATGATTTAATGGATGAATATGTTTCTAACTTGGGTATATAGGAGTCCAACAATTAGTAGTTAATGGTCCTTCTGGTTCATATTATAAAATAGAAGGTGATTATGGCATTAGGACTTTACTGGACCTTGTGAATGAACAATTTAATGTTATTAACATATTTGCTGTAGAGGATTGTGAGCCAAGTAGTAATGTACCTAATATAATCCATCACAATGAGCATGATGAACCTGATGAACTTGAAGTTGCCACTAATTGTGATGAAAGTGATAGTTGTGATGATAATAAAAATGTTGTTTCTTCTAACTATGACTGTGATATACTAGAGAAACTTTTTAAACAAAAGAAGAGAGATATTAATGATAAATTAACTGACTATAAAGAGTTAGATAGGTCAATGACATTCAAAGATATTGCTGAAGCTAGGAAAGTTATAAATATGTATGCACTTGTAAATAGTTATGGGTTAGAGCAAGTTAAAAGTGACCCAACTAGGCTTAGGTACATTTGTGAAGTTGACTGCCCTTTTGTATGCCACATATCTAGGAATACTTCAGGGGGTGGGGTTGAATTCAGGACTTTACATTCTAAGCACACTTGTGAACCCTGCATATGAGAATCATAGGGTTAATTCCAAGACCATTGTTGAATCTGTACATATAGATTCTCATACTTCTTTTTTCCTATATATGTAGGGGCTAATTGACTCAATCTTAGGAGTGCTTCCCGAGGCACACCACAGATTTTGTGTTAGACACATAGAAGCAAACTGGTGCAAGAGATGAGGATCCGAGGAATACAAGAAATATCTGTGGTGGGCAGCTTGGAGTACCTATGACGAGGACTTTCAAGATCAGTTGTAGAGTATGAGCCAAGTGGATGATGATGGTAAAGCTACTTTTGAAGCTTTGTTAAGGTATCCACCTACCTGTTGGAGTAGGGCCTTCTTTGATACTACATGCAAGAACCAGTCAGTTGATAATAACTTGACTGAGTCCTTCAATGCATGGATACTTCAAGCTAGACAGAAGCCAATTATAAAGATGTTAGGGGAGATAAGAATCAAGGTTATTAATATGTTGAATGATAATGAAGCTGAAGTTATGGGGTGGGGAGGTGAGTACAGTCCTAAGACTCTAAACTTGTATAACCAATTTATGAGGATTGCACAAAAGTGTCATATGAATGGCAGTGCTGACCAAGGTTATGAGGTGACAGAAGGTAGTGATAGGCATATTGTCAATCTGGGGGCAAAAAAATGCACTTGCAGGACATGGGACCTTTGTGGAATCCCATGTCCTCATGCAATCTGTGCCATCTTGTACAAGAAGCAAGATCCTTTGAGTGAGATTCACTGGTTTCTTTCAAAAGAGGCATATCTCCAGACTTATTCTCATAAGTTGCAACCTCTGAGAGGAGAAAAGTTCTGGAAGATAGAGCCCTCCCAGAAAATGGAACCACCTGAATTTGTAAGGCAAGCTGGCAGACCAAAAGTAAAAAAGAACAAGAGAGGCAAATGAGTCAACCAATAGGCAAGGGCAATGGTCTCAATCCAGAAAAGGGAGAGTTATGACATGTAATAACTGTGGTGAAGATGGACATAATGCTAGAGGTTGTGCCAAGGTAATCTTGTTTGTTGAATATAATTGTGCCTTGTTCTGATTTTTTCTGCCTTGTTCTAATATATTATTGTGTTCTATTTGATAATAGCGCTCTAAAAGAAAACAACCAATGGGTGGCAATTCAAGGAGAAAGCTGAACAAAAAGCAAAGAACTTTGGTTGATGAACCTGTTGCTGAACAACCTACATCACCAGCAGCTGCAGATATTCCAACTGAAGATGACTTCCATTTATCAGCATCCCAACCAAGTCAAAACTGTCAGTCCAGCAACTTTGTGTTTATGCCAACCCCTACTGTTCAACAACAACTTTCAACTACCAATGATCCAGATTTTGAGATCCCTAACTTTGAACCTAAGCCTGACATATCTGTAAGGCCAAAGAGCATTTCAGAAGCAAGAACAAGACTCCAGCTGAGGCAGCAAAGTATACCAATTGCAACCAGGCAAATCGGAATTGTTGATGATTCAAGTGGTGCAAGTCAGCCTTCAAAGCTTACTTTCTCAGCAAAAGGCCTAACATGGCTTGGAAAATCTACCATCACTGGAAATCAGTTGAACAAGCAAATGTTGAAGAAGTTGAATGCAAGAAAGGGTAGTGGTAAGGAGCAAAAATGATAGGACTTTACTTCAAGTATTGAACATTTGTAAATTTTTGGATGTGTTGTAATTACTGCCATATCAGTAAATTTTATATTTTGGTTGTGGTTGTTTAGTTGTGACAGTTGGATGCCATGATATAAATAGGTGTTAGACATCTTTTTGGGGTTATAATATGGTATCCAACTGTCTTATAAACTCACTTTATGAATGTTGGTGAATGCTATGAATGTTGACAGTTGGTGTTCCATTTTTAATTTTAGTTTTCTGGTAATGTAGTTAGCAATTTTTACATCTAGATAATATGGTATTTAGTTTTCCAATTTTCCATTTTGTAAGTGTTTCAATTTTAAAGCAAGGTATCCAGTTATCTGCAGCTTGGATTGTTGCTGTAGTTTGTTTTATTTTGTTTTTCAATTTTGCACTTGGGTGTAGTTATTTAGAAAGCAAACAAAGAACATATTTAGGAACAACCAAACATATCTTATAAAGAAAACAAAAATGTTTAGGAATTGTAGTATACAATAAAGGAAAAAAATCCTTTCACAATAAATACTACTACAACATCATAATCAAAGAACATACAAATACTAGTACAACATGGCTACACATATAAAACTCAACATCAGCAACTTTGAATTTGCAAAATAGTCACTTCATCATCGAGGCCACAAAATAACCAATAAACAATCCCCAAGAAATCATAAGCAACATCCTTGTCTTTGCAAGTTTATCTTCCAACTTGACAACTTTATCCACTTCATATTGGTGTATAGCCTTCATGACAATTACTTCTTCGTTCAATTTGTCCATTTTCATCTTAATCTCCTCAATCGACGATGTTACATCTTTAATATTAGTCCAATCCCTTCGCGGGAAGATTTCATCTTCCCATTCCCAAAACCCACATGAATTAGCCTGTCAAACATAAATCAAAAGAAGATTTAAGTTTCAAAATTGAAATAAAATTATTAACAAAAAAAGAAGAAGAGAACTGAAAAATATGGTAACCTTGGGCCTCGAACATTTGTAGAATTTTCTTCCAGGGTTATATGGAGTAGACGAAGTGAAATGCTTGGCTATAATGCCACATCGACACCTAATCTGTGATGAACATCTAGCTTGCGACATTTAACAACCAAAACTACGACGAGAATGAAATAAAGAGGATTTTTTTGGGAAGATTTCAGTCACATGGAAGGTTTTAGCAATAGAGTTTATTTTGGGGGAGAAGAAGAAGACGCCGGGTATGTGTCAAATTGATTTGACTGAAATTGGGTTGTGGGGGACTAGATGGTCGTTGGGTTTGGGTCTAATAAGTTAGTGGAAGTCCCAATTGGCAGCCGAGTTGGAAAAAAAAGAGATGGGGTCAACTGCCACTTGGACGGGCGTTAGGGTTAGGGGTAATTGTATAGACTTTATTAACGGTTGGAGATTGAATGTAAAGTGTAACGGGGGACGAACGTGCATGAAGTTCAAAAGTACATGGGTAATAATGGTCTTTTTCCCTAATATATGCTGATATGCTTATAAATATACATATTTCTCTCTTTCTTGATATGATTATAGATAATGTTTGAGCTAAGTAGCGAAGGGTATTCGAGTTGAAAGGCTCATCTCTTAATATGACAACATTATCATATTTTTAAGTAAAAATAGCACGGTATAGCCAGTTTTTGGACTAGTCATTCAAAAATAGTCAGCATTTACGAAGTCAATAAAAAATAGCTACTATTTGGCTGCAACAAAGACCGGTCCAGCATAATATACTGGAGTTCGGTGCACCTGTATATGAACTCCAGCATATTATGCTGGACCAGTATACTTTGCTGGCTCCAGTATAATATACTGGAGAACGGAGCACCGGTGCTCCAAACTCCAGTATATTATACTGTACAATTATACTTGCTGAAACTCCAGTATATTATGCTGGAGTTCTAGTGTACTTATGCTGGAATTCCATCATATTATGCTGGAGTTCTAGCATACTTATCCTGGAACTCCAGTATAATATGCTGGAGTTCCAGCATACTTATCCTGGAACTCCAGTATAATATACTGACGTATTTTTCGGGTTTGAATAGTATTTTCGCTCAGATTTATCTTTACATAAAAATTAGCTAAATTTCGATTACTTTTGAAACTTGGCTATTTTTGAATGACAAGTTGTAAATCTGGCTATTTTTAAATTTCTCCCCATTTTTAACCGTTGCTTTGGAAGTTCACTGTAGATTCAAATTAAATATGTTGCTCTCAACTTTGTTATATATGCTTCGTTAGTTGAAACCCAAAACTAACCGAAAAATGAACTTAAAGGATTATTTATGTGAAGTCTTTTAATTTAAGGATGATATAGTGCTAACTCTAAAACTTAAGGGAGCATTTATGTAAAAGAAACTCTGCGATATTACAGCATCGTAAGCTCAGCGTAAAAACAACAGCTGTTACAGTCCCATGTCAGACTTATACGACGACGTTTCAGCTTACTTCATCCATAATTTCCCACAAGCGTAGAGCATTTTGGGAGGGGGAAGAATGCATGCCGCCGGTGCTCCTCCGATTACGGCGTCGACGTCGACGTGGCCAGTTTATTCAGCGCCACGTGTAGACCGGAGATATTTGAGTATTCGAGCTTGGACTTCATTATACAGTGACAGTGAAAACCACCATTACAGTAGAAGGTCTCAACAGTACTGGGATAAGTTCTACAAGCTCCACAAAAACAAGGTATAAAGCTCCTGCCTTGTCCGCACTCCACAATAATGACCCAATTGCTTGTATCAACAAATATTTCTCAAAAATCAAATCTTTCATTTATAATCCCATATATTATACTTCCTCCATTCCAATTTACGTAATAGAAAGGAAAACTTTGAAACTTGTAGTTTTTAATGTGTCATAAAATTTAGGTGACTGTAAGAATTTCTAAGTTTAAAGTTGAAATGTTACCAAAATATGGAAATGCATTTTGGAACGGATTAATAAGAAAATAGTCACATAAATTGGGAGCGAGAGAATAGAATTCAGTTACATACATTTGCATATTCGGCAGTTTTTCAAGGACCGGCACTACTTGGAGAAGGATTGGAGAAGTTATTTTGATGATGAAATTGAATCTTCCCATGGGAAGGTTGTTTTAGAGGTGATTTCATTGCTGCTACTTATATACCTTACTCTAGTAGCTACCTGAAGAGTGTAACTGAATAGACATTAACAGGTGGGCTGTGGAGCGGGGAATACGATTTTTCCTCTCATCGCTACATTTCCGAATCTCTATGTTCACGCTTGTGATTTCTCACCCAACGCAATAACCCTTGTTAAGGTTTGTCAACCTTCTTATGTTACATTGCCATCAAGAGTAAGTTTACATTCATAGAGACTGCCAGTTTTTACTACTTGCATACCTTGAAAGAATCAATTTTTAGTTACAAGTTGAAGTATTTGGAAATTTGTTTGTATTTTCTCTGTCACGGTTTAATGGCTAAGGAGTCTTTCCAATATGGTCTGAACCTTATGGTAAATAATTGGATTTGGCATGATTCATCGTGTGAAAAATGAAACTAAAATTTAGTTCTGAAGGTCCTCAATGGAACTCTATGTTGCTCAGCATGGATCATATCTGAATTTTCTGCTTTTTGCGTAGAGGAACTTTTCATGTCTTTTGTATGTTTCATCTGCAACTTTTTAAGATCGTTACCAAATATAAGTATTTAAGTCTTATGGCTACTTTAGCCCTGTTGCGTTAGTTGTAATCTGGTTAGGATCTCAGTCAGTACCCCGATCATTTTTCTCTTTAGATAAACTGCTACACCAGTTTTTGTTCTCTAAGCTTTTTTAGTTTCCATTGAGTTAGTCTATTGGTTAATATCAGCAAACTTAACATTTCATATCTACAATATTTATTACTTTGTCATTTGCATTTTAAGTTTGCAATATTTTGCCTGCATTGCATTAATTGTAGTCTTCTTAGAATCTCATTGAGCATCATGACTTTGTTCTCGTAATGGCTCTCTGTTGAACTAATTTTTGTTCTTCAAATTTTGTTAGCTTCAATTGGATTATTCCGTTATTTGCATTTACTGTGATATGTCTGAGGAACTGTGCTTGTTCTACATTGCATGACAAACTCAAAGTGTAATCCTTTCTTTTCTATGGCGTGCTTGTGGCGTAAAGCTACTTATCCTATATGATGCAGCAGTTACACACAAACTCCTAAAGCTATTTGTCCTATATGATACAGTCACATGCAAATTTCAGTGCGGAAAAGATGAACGCCTTTGTTTGTGATGCCACAAAGGATGATCTCTGTGTTAACGTCATGCCTTCTACTGTTGATGTTGTAACCTTGGTAAGTGAAGGGAGTAAGTATAGTAATCAAATCATCACTTAAAAAAGGCAAAAAGTATAGTAATCGAATCTGAATCTGTACAACTGCTTAAAGCACAGAATATCCATATCTTCTTCCTTAGGGGAAGTCCAGAAGATGTATGCCTATATGAGCATCTAACTCCTTTAAGTAGATTTTTACATTGTCTGCAGTTTCTCCTGGGAAGATGGCTTCTATTCTAGAAAACTGTAAAAAAGTACTAAAGGTAAAACTTGAATTCAGGAGCATGCTTTGCCTCATTTTCCTTTTTCTTTCTCTAGTATTTGATAATTGAATGGATCTGCCATGCTCTTGCGATCTCATTTTGCAGCCAAATGGTCACATTCTTTTACGAGATTATGCAGTTGGAGATTCTGCTCAGGTAAACCCCTGTATATGCAGCCCTTGAATCTTCATATATACTGATGTGAGTGAGTCTTTTGTGTCTAGCTTCTACTTGTCACAAACCAGAGTTACATGCTTAATTTGTAATAGGTTAGAGATATGAAATGCATAACACAAGTCACATGACCAGCTTTGGTGGTACGGATTTGAAGTGGAAAGGGATTGCAATTGGGGGTGATGGGATCTCGCATATTAAGAAAAGACTAAAAGAGAGGAAATGGATTCGTTGAACCATTCACTTTTTGAAAAAGATGGCTGAAAATTAGGTAATTTTTCACTTTTGTTCCAATAGCTCAGTAAACAAAATTTTAGAGAGTTACATACTCACCACCTTACTTGAACAGGAAAATAGTGCTGCGTACTTGGGCCTTATTTATTTCAGTTGGCAAAGAAAATAAAGCACCTATTCGAAAAAGACAAAAAGAAGAAGATAAAGTCCTCTCTCGTTTCCTATCATTGATAACTATGTTATTAGATACTTGGTATGGCTAGTGCTGCAGATACCTCTGCCAAAATGGAAGTATGTCGGGTGAAATTTCAATGTGGCATTAATTATCATCTTGTTTCAATAGATCTTTTTGATTAGTGGATAACTGTTCTTTATAGCACTTCATAGCTCAGCAAAATGAAGAACTCTAATGGAGCTTTGCTTAATGATTTAGCTAACAGGAGAATATGATTACAGAGCATTCTGTATGGGATGTTTTCTGTCTAAAAGTGAAACATCATGCCTAAACATTTTTCATACTGAACTTTGTAATTTTGGCCCGTTTCTTCTGTTTCAAGTTTCTTGCATAATAGTAGTCCAAATTGGAAGCAGTTTTAGGTGGCATGAAATTTACACTCGGAAAGTTTCAGGTGAAATTGCATGACAGAGACCAGATGATTAGTGAGAATTTTTATTTTCGAGGAGATGGAACTGTAAGTATTCTCTGGAGGTTGTTTGTTTATCTGCATTTCCCTGCTGTAATATCAACTTCAGCTAAATCGCTGCCATTATGGCCTCAGTGTTCATTTTACTTTTCGGAGGCTTTCATGGCAACCTTGTTTCAAAGTGCTGGTTTTGTAATCGTGGATATTAACACGTATTGCAAAGAAATTACGAATCATTCTCGGAATATTACCATGCAGCGGTATCTCTCTTGATTCCTTTTTCTTACTGCTACTTATTTATTACTGACTGTACTATCGTCTATGAAATGAGGGAAAATAATTTCCTTAATCAACAAATTGGGTAAATCAGGGCTTTGTTGTAGAAACCTTCTTTTTCTACATTAGTTTCTCTGTATACGTTCGTTTACTTCAATAAATCTTTCTTTTACTAACATCTTCCGTAATTAAGTTAGATGTTGGACATGAATACCTGCTTAGAAAGGAAAAGAAAGATAAACGGATGATCCTAGAAAAGCATTACTATACTAACTTTATATTGGTGTATTCATATACTTTTGCTCTATTAATGCTCTACCACCTCCTGAAACTTTTTTGATCATGAATCTAATAATCAATAATAACTTATGCTTATTAACTTTGATTCCGCTGGGCCTTAACCTCTGTTTATGTGACTCCATATGCTTAGGCGCTGGATACGTGCCATATTTGGTCGTTCATGATTGCAAGTTCCTTTCTCCTCTTCCATCGTGGGTCCAAAGCCGGTAATCCATAAATTAACATGCCATTATCTTAGCTGTTCAACATGGTTTGTGCTGAGGTTTGTATGTTAGAGCAGCCCTTATTGATGAAGCCTGTGAGGCTGAAGGTTATACTCGACAAGCTAGCACCTGAAATCGAGATACAGTTGGGAAAATGAGTATTTGAAGTTGAAATTGAAGTGTTAAAAAGCTACAATACAGTTTCCTGTGCCTAAAGTGCCTGATTTAGATTTTGTCATGATGCACTGCACTCTTTCCATTGTAGTGCTCTTTTTGTAATAGCTTGTTTGGCCAAGTTTCTCCGATCCTAGAAGCATTTTTCTTCAAAAAAAGTGTTTTTTCTTCAAAACAGGCACAAAAAGTGGTTAGCTAAGCTTTTGGAAGAAAAAAAGAAGTGTTTTTGAGGAGAAACATAAAAAAGTAGCTTCTCTCCAAAAACATTTTTTTTAAAAGCACTTTTGAGAAAAATATACTTAGAGCAATTTTTAAAAGCTTCGCCAAACACTAATTGTTGCTCAAAAGTGTTTTTCAAATTAATTAGCCAAACACAAACTACTTCTCACCAAAAGTACTTTTGAGGAAAAACACTCCTCAAAATAAGCTGATTTTTGCCCAAATAGGCTATAAGTTAATTGACAGGCTTCAATAAAGGGGAAGGGAAAAAAGGATAAAAGAAAGGGATGCATTTCATTAAATAACCATTTAAAAGATTCTTCAACTGTCTCTATATCTTTATCATCGTGTAGAGGTGACAAAATGGTTAAAAGAAAACAGTTATCCACCCATATTATTCATTAAAAATGGGTTGGATAATGAATTTTTTAAAACACAGGTCGAATATGGATAAAAACCATATTATCCACTTAGAAAATGGTTAACCAAATGGATAACTGATGTGTTTAACTTTTACATTTGTAAAGTCTCAAATTAGGGGTTTTTCAAGTTTGGGAGACTAGCAATTCTCTCATAAATGATCATATTCAAGAAGTCATGGGTAATATGGATATCCATATTATCCGCTGGATAATCCGTTTTTTTATCCGTCTCAAATACGGGCCGGATTAACTAATTTATCTATTTTCGACCAGCTAATATCCAAACCGACTCGCCCGTTTGCCACCCCTATCCTCACATAACAATATAACCAAATAAAGAGAGAATCTCGTTTCATTGTCTCCTATAGCTCCTCCTACATATCGGATAACTTTTCTGATTCTTTCTTTTTTCCAGAAAATATAGAGATCTTTTAATATTTATTCTTTCTTTTATTTTGTATATTTTTGGCTTGAGCATTTAAATGGAGAAACATGGTTATTGAGTATTCATACAATTGATCTCAACTTGTTTGAGATTAAGATGTATTTATCATTATTGTTTTTTTTTTCTCCAGAATTTGATTAAATATAAATAACGTGACTTATCACGTAATAGTACTATTAAGGATAAAAATAGTAAAAGTTCAATAGGACAGACATGGACTGCTCTCTTTACATGGATAATGCAGAAAGCTAAAGGGAGAACAACTACAACAAAGATTATCAGAATGACATGCAGAGTTCATACATGCAATATGGAAGGAAAGAAACAACAGAATTTTCAAAAGAGAAATTAGAGATCAAGAGAGCATAGCTAGAGAGTAGCATGTGTATGTAATATTAGAGGCACGAGTGATATGAGGAACCTGCTACAGAAGTTGATCTTTTAAATATGCAATCCATAGCCTAGCTTTACATGTATAGAATTAGACGGCTGGATAGAAGAACCAATAGGACATGAGAGATAGATTGTACTATTTTACTCAGAGTAGCTAGGTGTGTATAACTATGCTTGTTTTGTAATGATTTCACTGGTGATTAATACAAATATTTTAATTACCAAAAAAAAGGATAAAAATAGTAGTAATACTTTTTATTACTCAATAATGACAATGACAACTACGTTTTAGTTCTAAACAATCTATAATTCATTATATTATACGAAATAAATGTCGATAGAGATAAATGACGTGAAGTATGAATACACATATTTATACGAGAAAATTTCACTCTTCCACGAGTAATGGAAATCACTTTGTCCTTTTTAGCGAAAAATATTGTGTTTGATTGTATACGAAGTTTAATAAAAAGAAAACTTTTAAAAACTTGTAATATGAAATGAGTCATAGATAGTTTTGTGTCTATAAATTATCTCATTAAGGTAAAATAGGTATTTTAAAGTTCAATTGTTATTAAATATAAAAATATATTATTTTTTTGGGACTGACAAAAAATAAAAATGTAACACATAAATTAAAACGGGGAGAGTACTACTATATATTTTCATCATTTGAAGAAATCAAATATTAAAAGTTATTTGATCAAGATACAAAATACTACACAAATGGTGCGGTGATCCTCTTCTATAAAAATGGACAAATGGTGAAAGCAGAAGTAAAGGCAAAATGCTACCCCTGTGTGACATAGCCACCAAACTTGGTTATTGACCTACCATCTTTAATCCAAAACCTTTCTTTATTAAGCCAAGCAAAGTAAAACCTACTCATTGCTCCCTTGTCCCATTTTCATTGGATTGTCAAAAATAGCCATTATTACTTTATATAATTCAATTCTTTCTGCTCTTTGATTGTAATGTTTGACGTGTTATATTTATAACGTTTTTGTTATTTTTCTTTAGTTCTAAAGTTGATCTGGTTTCCTTCACCAATCTTATTGAGCCATCAATTCAATTCTTATACGTTAGCCTTCTCTCTCTCTTTTTTTTTTTTTTTTAAAAAAAAAGAAAAATCTCAGAACGTAGAGAAAAGAAAAGTCTATTACGTATATATCTTGACTTCACCACTCTTGTAACGTTATGGTGCTTACTTGTCATTTTCTCCTCCCTTTTTGTTTATTTATATTTTTCTTGGTTTTACTTTTGTTCTGCTTTAGATTTGTCTGTGGTTGGACGTATCTTGAATTATTTGTTGTGGAACAGTATGAAACAAAACAAAACCCAAAAAATATATTTCAATAATAATTGGTTATAGTACTTCTATGCAAATTATGAGACTCTCTTTGTACTCTTATATCCATTCTGAAGTATTATTAATGGATAAAAAAAAGGGCTCCATATAATTAAATTTAACTTCTAATGTCTTGGAAAATATATTACTCCTAACTAATAATGCTTGACTAAATCAACTTCTCAAGCATCATTTTTGAGAAAGTCTAAAAATTGGTATGAGTAGGACACATCAATGCATTTTTAGATGCACAAGGAATCATAAAAGGAGACTTGATTTAGGACATTTTAGTTTGAAGAATAACCCAAATAGCCACTTATCCAAATGTTTAAACTAAAAATAGTTGGTGAAGGTGCAATATATGCATAATTTATGTATTATATGCGTATAATTATGTATAATCAGTGTGTATAATTATGTATATAGCTAGAAAAGTAAATAATAAATATGAACGGCTATTTGTGTAAAGATCCCTTTTAGTCTGAAACCTTCCAAGTTCAACCACTTATAAAAAAAATAATAATAAAAGAAACAAGCAAAGAAGAAGCACACATTTCAAGTTCAACCATTGCCTTTCAATGTATTTAGACAAACATTTTTTTGATGCACTTTCATGTAAATGATTTAAGAACATAGTTGACATAAATTTGCACAAAAAGAGGAAAAACCAATAAACCTTGTTTTTGATAAAAAAGAAAAGAGAAAGAGGGAGTGAATTTAATGTCAAATTTAATAGTTAGATACATTAGTTGAAAACAACATATAACCCCAAATACCTAATTTCAACAATAAAAAGGAGATGCAATATGCAAAGGTAGCAACAGACGTACATAAGTAGTAAACCCTTTGAAAAGAATGGAACACATGATAATTGACAAAGAAAATAATGGAGACATAATTTAGGTAATGGCTGACCTGCCAAGAAAGGACACGTGGTGTTCTCATGGAAAGTCCATGAACTCCCTTTTGATTTTTTATGTAAAAAATGTACAAAACAATTCATAAGCATTGTCTGTCTGGTGCATTGATTGGAGTTAGATAATTGTATCTACACGTGTCCTCTTTTGGAGTACACCAAGTGGTAAACATCTTTTCTTGAATCCCTTTGTTCAATTTCTCTCTCATGTGCATCTTCTAAAAAATAAAAATCTTGAGAATGAGGCATTTCTTTACTGGCCATAGTTAAGAGCCTGCAAGCTGTTTGATAAAAGGATTCTTGTTGGTAAGCATGACTTTCCTCTGTTTTGAGCTGAAGTTTTAGTAAATTTGGCAGCTTTTTTATGTTATATTAGGCAACTTGGATAATTTGTACTGCTCCTTAGAATCTGTTGTAAAAAGATTCTTTTTTTTTTCGGTTGGGTTGGAGGGAGAAGAGAATTTATTTAGTAAATGACTCATATTTTGAGAGGTGGACATGAGTTACCTCAGATCCATGAAACCCAAGTTACATGTGGCAAAAAAGGTTGTATCTTTTTAGGGTTTTCTTGTGATTCTTGTTTAGGTGTCTGTTTTTTTACCTCTCCTAGGTTCTTTTTCCATGATTCTTTTGCTTTCCTTTCTTGAATTTGTGGATAAGGCTTTGATTTTGTCGTTTTCCCCATGTTGTTGTGTATTTAAGGGTTGGTGGTGGTGGAGATAGGATTTGCTCTTCTTGTTCTTGATTTTTTCTCCTAAAGGGAATTGCATAATTCTAGTTTACAAGAAGTTTGGATCTGTTTACAGCTGCAGATCTCCCTCATACCCTTGTTTGTCTCACTAATCTGGAGCTTGTTCCACTTATTATTTGGTCTTTTTTAGTGTACCCTTTATTTCTTGTAGAGTACTGTTGACTGAGATCTTCTTGCCCATTCAGTTTTATCTTTCCCCATTTTGTGGATTCCTAGCTCATCTCCTTGAGCTTTAAATTTAGCTGTCTTTCCCCATTTTTGTGGATTCCTAGCTCATCTCCTTTTGCTTTAAATTTAGCTGTCTTTCCCCATTTTTGTGGATTCCTAGCTCATCTCCTTGCACTTGTAAATTAGCTGTCTTTCCCCCCTTTTTTGGATTCCTACCTCATCTACTTGTGCTTTTAATTTAGCTGTCTTTCCCCATTTTTGTGGATTCCTAGCTCATCTTTTTTTGCTTTTAGTTTAGCTGTCTTTTACCATTTTTGTGGATTCGTAGCTCGTCTTCTTGTGCTTTTAATTAGCTATTTTATCGCGCTTGTGAATTTTCCTTTAAAGCAGTCCTACTCTGCGAAACATAAAGCTTGGTGCAAATCTGTTGGTGGAACCGCGGAAGGGGCTTTCATGGGCTAATGTGGTTGACTCGCTAGTTTGGGGAGATTCATTGGTAGCTTTTGCATATTATTTTCCTCTAGAAAGAATGGAGGAGTTGTCTCCAGCTGTTGCTGTTACACTCAGCTTAAGCACCTCTATCTGTGATAACCCTGCAATTTCGAACAATATGGAAATCACAAGGCTCAAATTAGTGACTGACACAGCTAGCTTACTTTCAGATCATCCATCTTTGTTGCATGTTGAGCCCAATACCAGTTGGGATGGAAATAGCAACGGTATGAAAGCTGAGGTGGGTAGAGTTCCCTTTTGTGGTCCATTGCAGACTGTATTGGGAGCTGAAAATGGCCTGATTGTTAGCGATAGCATCATTCAGGGAAATGAAGAAGACGAGATTTTATCTGTTGGAGAGGATCCTTGTGTAATTAATGGGGAGGAGTTGTTGCCACTGGGCGCTAGCTCGGAGTTGAGTTTGCCAATTGCTGTTGAAATCGAGGGTATTGACAATGGTCAAATACTTGCCAAAGTCATAAGTTTGGAGGAAAGGAGTTTTGAGAGAAAGATCAGTAATCTGTCCGCCGTTGCTGCTATCCCAGATGATGAAATTACTACTGGCCCTACGCTAAAGGCATCCGTAGTGGTTCTTCCGTTGCCCAGTGAGAATGAACCTGTCAAAGAAAGTGTCAAGAGTGTGTTTGAATTGGAATGCGTGCCACTCTGGGGCTCTGTATCTATCTGTGGAAAGAGACCAGAGATGGAGGATGCTCTTATGGTTGTTCCTAATTTCATGAAAATACCTATCAAAATGTTTATTGGTGATCGTGTGATTGACGGACTAAGTCAACGTTTGAGTCACCTGACATCTCATTTTTATGGTGTATATGATGGTCATGGAGGATCTCAGGTATAGTGTTTCTTTTATGTGTCTATATTGATTGATTAGCCAATTAAATACTCCTTAGAATAATCAAATTTTCCATACATCATTTATTTCGGACCTTACAAGTATCTTGTACACAGTGCACCAACCATTTCTCCATCCCATAATTTCAGCTGTGTAGTATTTCAGTAAGATCAAAATGTGTCAATTTAACCTAGTTCTCCAGGTCGAACTACCTGGTTATGTGTTCTACCATCAGTTTAAATCCTCATCAAGTCGACTTAATGAGAACTAAGTTTAATATAACTGACTGCTGTTTTGTCATGCAGGTTGCGGATTATTGCTGCAAACGCATTCATTTAGCATTAGTTGAGGAGTTAAAACTTTTCAAAGATGATATGGTGGACGGGAGTGCAAAGGACACACGTCAGGTGCAGTGGGAGAAGGTCTTTACTAGTTGCTTTCTCAAGGTTGACGATGAAGTTGGGGGGAAAGTGAACAGTGATCCCGGTGAAGACAACATAGATACCACTAGCTGCGCCTCTGAACCTATTGCCCCGGAAACTGTGGGGTCCACTGCGGTTGTAGCGGTGATATGTTCATCTCATATTGTAGTTTCTAATTGTGGGGATTCAAGAGCAGTCCTTTATCGTGGCAAAGAAGCAATGGCACTGTCAATTGATCATAAAGTAAATCACACATTTAGCATTACCTTTTGTCTCCTTCTTCTCCCTTTTCTTTTTCTTTTTTTTCACATACACGCTTGTCTTATTCTGGCAGGAAAGAATGTGGTTGATCCATTACCATCTCACTCTTTTACCTTGTATTCTTTTACCAGCCAAGCAGAGAAGATGAGTATGCTAGAATTGAAGCATCTGGTGGCAAGGTCATTCAGTGGAATGGACATCGTGTTTTTGGCGTCCTTGCAATGTCAAGATCTATTGGTTGGTCTACTAAAACTTTCAGCTTGCATATATTGAGTATTATCTACTGATGCTGTGCTGTGCAATGGATTTGTTTGATACCTGTTTTCTTTGGCTTCCATCAGACGGCTACCTTCTCGTCTTGACAGTCCGTTAAATTTGGAGAATTCTATTTGCTTCACCATAATCCAAAATGCTCCTTAGTGATCACACATGGTCCTGTTAGTCTATAACTATGACAAATGATGACTAGTTTGCATTTGAATTAATAAACTACATTGGCTCCTGACCTTAGGTCATTATATATGCCGACTGAGCTCTTCATCTGGTTTTTGTTGGAGATACTCTCTACATTTAATCCTCTATTTAAGCTGTTCTGCATGGCATTGAGTTCCTGTTACAGGGAAATGCTTACTATTTGATCTGTAAGGAGATTGAGATATAGCTTCCTTGATCATTAGTTCCTTCAAACATGAACTAAAACTTTTCAGCAACGAAAACAACAACTACGCCTCAGTTCCAAACAAGTTGGGGTCACCAATATGAATCCTCATTTTTTTTTCTGTAAGCTCCACTCATATCATCATCATTACCAAAATAAAGTAAAAGTGAAAGTAAATATATATNTATTGAAAGTTCTCTACCAAGTCTAAAACCTATTCCCAACTACTCCAATTACCTATATGGATCTTTCTCGTCCATTGTGCCCCATTTTTTTAAGCTAAGTATGCATTGAGTCTAAGCATTTGTAGGTCTAACTAACACTTTTCAGGAACTAGACAAATTGAATTCTCTGGGAAACAATCAATAAAAGAAAAAAAACACAAAGAAATAAGGAACTGAAGATAAAAATGAGATTTACTGCAAAAAACATTGGTAAATGTAGTATGGTGAAATGTGACTTGGTAGAAATTTCATGGTAGTATCCATAAAAAAGAGAATTTGTGGGATTTTTAGGGAATGTACATCAGATTATGCATGCTAAAGCTGAGATTCAGCTATTATTGCCCAAGTTAGAAGACAGCTGCTGTTACAGAAGATGTTTTCTGCGCTTTGTTATGTTATTTTAGGTTCAATGTTGCCTAGGTGTCTTCTTGTCAGAGATTATTATGCCAGTAGAAAACGTAGGGAAAACTAGTCTAGAGAACTTAAATTTTTTAAATATCGGGTTGGATCTAAGTAGAGCCTCATGGATAGTGAGGATTCATATCGCCGACCCCAACTTAGCTTGGGATTGAGGCGTAGTAGTAGTTGTTTTTGCCTTTCCAAATTCTCACTTCTAGTGGACAGGATAACATAAGGAAATTTTTGGGAACATCTCATAGAAACGTATATAACAGTATAAACAGGCATTTCTCTGATTGCCATCAGTAAGTACTCCCGTGATCAATAAAATCTAGGAATACAATTTGGGAATGAGCAAAGACATTTATCCTTCTATGGCCCTACCTCTGCAATCTCGAAAGTATGTCTAACTTGATTTGTGTCGTCATTAAGAGTAAATGTTTGACTTGATTTTTATATTGAGTATATGTCAAGGTGTCATGTCGTTCTGCAGTCTCTTCCATATCATCCTGTTGAGTCAAATTATGCTCTTGAATCCTGATTATCGTCACAATTTCTACCAAACAAAACTTGATTTGTTTGTGGAAATGGTTGCCACCTTATGCGATGTCTGATAATCACAATGCATATTCATCATTTTGGTAGTCAATTTTTTATTCGTGTATACCCCTTTTTTTATCCTCAGGTGACAGATACTTGAAACCATGGATTATACCCGAACCAGAAATTATGTTTGTACCACGAGCCAGAGAAGACGAATGCCTAGTTTTAGCTAGTGACGGGTTGTGGGATGTCATGTCAAATGAGGAAGCTTGTGAAGTAGCTAGACGACGAATTCTGCTATGGCACAAAAAGAATGGGACTAATCCTCTGCCGGAAAGGGGCCAAGGAGTTGATCCTGCTGCACAAGCAGCAGCAGAGTATCTCTCGACGATGGCTCTTCAAAAAGGTAGCAAAGACAATATATCTGTGATTGTGGTGGACCTTAAAGCTCAAAGGAAGTTCAAGAGCAAATGTTAAGAGATGACAATGTTCACCCGCACTTTGGTTTTTAGTATAAATCTATATACGGCTATGGGGTATAATCTCATTATTACATAACTCGGTCCATCCATTTTTTTATGGGCTTAAGGTCTGTGTATGAGAATAGTGTTTAGCATGTATTTATAGAAAAACAGTTTAACAAATGACGTTTATCCAAATTTTTGGTGTTGTTATGCCAGCAAGTGGCTATGTAAATTGAGCATGTTGTAGCAATATCAAAGATGCAAGTTCTTTGTTCTTCCGTTGTTTAGTTTATGATAAAAAAGAAAAGCCACAACAGCCGTTACGGATTCGCCTGAACCCGTAGTAGCTTTAGTTCAAATCCGTTGTATTAACAATTTCACTCAATATATATTAGAATCCGGAACAGTATTCCACGGTTATGGAAAAAATAATTCAATGATGACGTTGGCATCACTAGTTAATTCATTAATTTCTTTACCTACAGAGGTAATGCTCAAAATTGAATAAAAATAAAGTTATTTGTTTTTTTTAATCAGATAGATTGTATCCGGGTCAATAGCATCTTAACTTCAATTCCCTATAAGTAGTTTATGTATAGATTCCTAGGTTGGACGAAAACTCTAAAATGTAAACATTAATTAAAATTTAATTAATTTTCATGGATGAAGAATGAAGAAAACTGGAACACAAAAATCTATATATAATAAAAGTAGAGGCAAAAACACCATATTAAGACAAGTGGCATAACCAGAAAAAGCTAAGTGGCATTGTTAAGACAAAATAAACTACCTTTCTAACTAATTTTTTTTTTGAATTTTAAATTTTGAATTAATAAATATAGATATTTTATGATTATCTATAAAAATGAAAATATATAATAATAAAAAAAAACTACCAATTCAAATGGAGGAGTAGTTTTAAGTTGGAGTTTTAAAATTATTTAAAATAAAAAATAAAAAAACTTTTAATTTGAATTTGGGAGTAGTTTATTCCTAATATGATAGTCTATATCTATATCAATATCTATTTATATATCTATGTCTATCTATCTTCTATGTGTAATAAAAGGAGAGACAAAGACACCATAGTAAGCCAAGTGACATCATAATAAAAAATCACTTGACAATTTTAGGACAAAGTTAGTTACGTCAAGTAATGATTGTTTTTTTTTTAATTTAAATTTTCAAAAATTAAATTATGTATCATTGCTTATTCCATATTATGTAGATAATTTTTTTTTATAAAAATACTGATACATTTTATATAAAATAATAGATCACCCGAAAGTTCAACCCCACAACTATGTCAACTGGCAACCTATCGGTTACATAAACAACTGGCTCCAAAGAGCACAAATAACTGGACAGGTTCACATTTGACTGATGCATCACCGTTTGGTGTATAAGCACCGGAGAATGTAGCAGTGTCTTCTGCAAGAGTTTGTTATTTTTGATATGTGATTTAGGAATAGCAGCCTCAACAAACCATTGACACTAAATATATTGTAGGAACTAAACCATCGACACTAAATATGTTGTAGGAACTCTAACTTCATCAATAAGGAGTGCTCGCTAATGTTGTTAAAATAGGTATTTGGATCCACGAAGAACTAAACTAAAGTGAACTTAATTTTATGTGCAGTTATCTTTTTGTGATAGGACTATATGTAAGTCCTCAGTTAGATTAAAGAACTTGGAAGAATAGCAATTGAAAGGGGAAGGCTATTTTCAAGAACTTTGGGCAAGACCAAGGTCAAGAGAAGGTTATATTATATATTTCTCAACCTGATAAAAAAGAACCTCTTTCTTAGTTCCATTTATCATCCTCTTTTAATATTATGTTGTTCATAAAGTTACGATTTGCTATGCTTATTCTTTTTAATGAATAAATCGTCCTTGGATTCAGGAATTAGTTAAGTTTGTATTTAATCATGTCCTGTATTACTACTACTTCTACTTCCATTCTAATAAATGGAACCCGCAATTCCTGTTTTAACCCTTCTCGAACTATTCGTCAGGGGGATCCTTTGTCATCTTACCTCTTCATAATGTATATGGAAATATTCTCGCGTAGTAGTACTATATCAATGGACTATCTCAACTGGCAACCTATCCATCTTTCGAAAACTGGCCCCGAACTTGCACATCTATTCTTTGCAGATGACATAATTCTGCTTTTTAAGATCATTACCAAAAGTTATCATGCGATCATAGATGTAATCGACCACTTTACTAAGAATTCCGGGCAAAAAATAAATTTCCAAAAATCCATGATCTTTTTCTAAAAAAATTGCTCCCAAAATAATAAGAACTTTGTTCTTCAATCATTCCCAATCACGGCAGGGAACTCTTTTCGTAAATATTTAGACTTCCCTATATTTCATTCCCGTCCCAAAATGAGTGACTTTCAATTTCTATAAAAATCAGTTAGCTGGACGGAAAACAAAATTTATGACCATGGCAGGGAGAACTACTCTCGTCAAATCAATCCTGAATACGCTCCCCCAACCATGTTATGCAACACATCCATATTCCAACAAGTATCATTAATAAAATGGAACAGTACCAACCAACTTCCTTTGGGGTACAATTGCTACAAGAAAAAAATTACATCTCTTACAATAAAGCAAATTACAACCGCCATGGATAGGGGAGGATTGTTCAAACACTTAGAACTAAGAATAACGCTTTGCTTGCTAGCTTGACTTGAAGGATTTTTTAAACCCCTCATTATCTTTGGGCTAAGACTTTATTACGTAAATACCCCCGTAACATCCATCACTAATCACTCGCCAACTTGGCGAAATATTCTCAAAGGGTGGAACATTGTCAACTTGGTCTCCAGTAGAGAATTGAAACATGGCACAAGATTAACTTATGGCCAGACTCCTGGATTAAATCAGGGACGCTTTTGTGCTCTCTAATCCAAGGACCTCTGTCACAGTTTCATCAAACCTTTAAACTTTCTACTATCCTAACCTCACATGGATGGAATTGGGCCAATATACCTTTTGATATTCCTCCAAACTTAAAAAATACTATCAACAAGCACTACCTTTCGATAAACACACACCAATCAGACCAACTATTTGGGCCCTTACTAACAACAGACAGTTTACTATCCAACCTATGTATAAAGCCCTAGCTAATAACGACTCTCACATCACTCCTACGCACAACCTTTTTAGATGGATTTGGATATTGCCAATCCAACCAAAAATCAAAACATTCCTTTGGCTCCTCCAACATAATAGACTACCTACACGCCATTACCTCAATTCTATTGGCATATCAACAATAGCAAATTGTTCTACCTGTACGGTTGCCAATGAAACTCTAAATCACATTTTTCTAACATGCCCTAATTCTCAACAATATTGGGATTCCAAAGGAATCTAGGGTTACATCAATAACCTTTCAACAATGGATTCACCTAAGCTTTGGCTACACCCACTCATACATTCAAAGGCACTTCACTTCCCACATAAATTGAACCCTCACACTTTTATACTATTAAGTCTATGGAATATCTGGCTTACCCATAATCACAATCTCTACGACCATACATCCCTAACAACTAGTCCAAATTTTATGTTACATCAAGCTATTGAATTTGCATACATGGCTGCATCACAAACCACACAACCTAATAAGGTATGTCTAAACCTTAGATCGATACCACCCAAACCAAATTTTTACAAATTAAATACGGATGGTGCAACCCTATGTAACACTGATACAGATGACATCAGAGGAGTCATTCGAAACCACCTAGGTGCTTGTATTGTGGGTTTTGCTGGCCCAGTCACACATTTACATTGTATCACAGCAGAGTTGCATGCACTCATACGAGGACTAAATCTAGCAGTACAAATGCAACTATTGCCACTAGAAGTGGAAATTGATGCGCAGGAGGTAATAATACTATTAGCTACAGACAACATTAGATATACTAATATGATTTCTGATTGCAAGCACTTCCTCAGGATGCTACATGATCCAATAGTTCTACATGCGTACAGGGAACAAAATGGCATAGCAGATCAACTTGCAAAGTTAGGCAGTAGGATGCAATGCGATGCTGCTCTACAAATATTTGTTGAACCGCCACTTTTTGTGTCCAGTCAGTTGCAGGCAGATCAACTAGGAGCCACTACTCAATGCATTGTTTCAATCCTATGAGCACGGGAACCAAACTATCAGAATACCCGACTATGTTTTGTTTGTAACTTGATAGCTCCAGACACTTTTCACCCTACTATTTTGACTACTGTTAAGGCAGCACCAACCACTTGCAGTACTGGGGGTCGTCAACATGTTAGTATTAGGGACGACAACTCTAACTTAGCTGATACCGTGACTAATGTCTCTGTATGTACTAGGGTGCATGAGCACCAACACATGTACGCAAACTTTTAATTAATGTAATCTATCGTTTACACCCAAAAAAAATTATTTATGCAGTTTCTTCTTTTAAGATCCATATTATGCCAAGTGACAACCTAATAATAAGTTATGTGACATTGCTTAAGACAATTGATAATATTAGGATGAGATACGTAATTAATAATGTAATAAAATTAGTTAGTTTAAAATTAGTATGGTTAATTTGGGAATATGATTGTGAAATGCGGCATTTCTAATTATATTAGACAGATGTTGAAGCTTTTTTTTATAATTTATTTATGATTTTTGTTGCTAAGTTATGTGAAAGTTGGATGTACTTTTGTAACTATCAATATGAAAATCTATAAAATTATCCAAGCAGCAAAATTCCTACAAATTTAATTTAACATTTAAATTTCAAGAGATACTATTAACTTTGTTCCTAGAAAATACCTAACCCCAAAACCTTCTTTTAAAAAATAAATTATTGCCCTTAAATCCATCACCAAGATCTTCTCAATTAAAAATCCATTATTCTCAAAATTTCTATTTGATCCAACTATGCCAGCAGATTTCAGCATTCTCAGAAATGCTGCCAATTGTTACGAACAATATTCAAATGGAATTGTGTACAAATACTGCATATATCAAATCAACATTTGTGCACAATTCAGGTAAATTTTTAATCTATTAATTATATTATTACTTATTTGTTTTCATATTATTGCACGAATATTTATCAGTTTACGGGTTTATATAATAATATTATTTACTATTTCATGAAGAAAAAAATGATAAATATGTTACATCTCCCGTTTTCGTACATTAAAAGTTTCGTCTTCAGTTAATCGACGTAGACTCGGGATGAGATTATCTTGAGGTTAACATATTTACTCTATTTATAACAAGCGAGAAGTAAGTGTCATGAAGGATAAAAGGTACACGAATTAAAGAAAACGAGGTAGTTGAGTCTTGCGTTACTTTGTACCTTTGTAAGCCTAATCCGGTAGGGTTTTGTCTAAGATAGCTAGGGGCAATGTCGTGTCTTACTATTTTCTATTTTCGACGCAGGATCCATTTACTAGCCATTATTTTTGCTTTGCATTTTTCTTCTGCATTTTATGTTCCTTTTTCCCTATGATCTCCTCTTGATAGGAATATGTGGAGGTTGAGTATTAAGGTTGTAGGCTAGGAGGTAGCTGAGTATTGTCTTATGTCATAACTTTGGGGGACTAGTTTGGTAAGGATACTATTTTTCTTTTGCTTGGTATCATTCCTCTTAATTTCATGTTGTTCTTATTTTTCATATATATATATATATATATTTCTTTCATATTGTTTCCGTGGTGTTACTAATATTGTTTTCTTTTGTCCTTTTGTCTTATTGAGCCGATGGTCTTTCGGAAACAACCTCTCTACTCCTTCGGGGTAGGAGTAAGGTCTGCGTACACACTACCCTCCCCAGACCCCACTAGTGGGATTACACTGGGTTGTTGTTGTTGTTGTTGTTGTTTCCCTATGATCTCCTTGGTGAATCTAATATTCTCTCCTTTTGTCTTTTTATTATCTTGAGCCGAGGGTCTTTCGGAAACAGCCGCTCTACCCCTTCGGGGTAGGGGTAAGGTCTGCGTACACACTACCCTCCCCAGACCCCACTTGTGGGATTTTACTGGATTGTTGTTGTTGTTGGTGTTGAATTAAAGAAAACGGGTTTCGCTGAAGGTTACCGATTTGGGATAAAATACGGGTGAGCGATAATATCCGATAACTATAAACTAGTACCATACAAGGTAGCATATGACCGTGATAATATGATGTATAAAGTATATTAAAAATAAGTAATTTTTTAGGTAATTTGAGATAATTCTTAATTATACGGATAATTGATTAATTATCGGGTAACAAGACATTACTTAATCACCTAACAAATGGATAAAGATTTAATAATACCCACCCCCACCTCCCCATGTGGCAGCATGCCACTTAATGTGGCCTATGACTCTTAGTCACAGTGGCTTAGTGGCCATTTAAGGATTATAAGGCATTTACAAGTGTAACACTCATAAAGCCTAGTTTTTAACATTACCAAAATTTAATTCTTCAATTCTATACAAGATACTGTCAAACAAGAATTGGTTTTATGAAACCTTACGATTCAACCACCATCCAGCATAATTTCCAACTAAATTCAATTCCAACGAGAATTTGTTAGAATCGTAGCAACGTAAAATTTTGCGATTTTAAAAGAGTACGGTGCAATCTTCGCCAAAAATATTATACGGAATTTTTCCTACTCTAGGTATGTTAAAGCCATCCCTTCTTTCTTTTTGGCATGATCCAAGTTATACAGAAGAAACAAGCAAATGCACAGTTTTCATAAACGACTCTATTCATAGAAATATTAGGGGTCTCTGTGTTCTTGATTCCCCATGTGACATATTATTATATCTTCTGTTCATGGGTCTCAAAATAATATGCAGTTGATAAAGCTTATCCGAAAAGAATATTGAGATTTTTAACATATTTTCATATATTTTATTCATTTATGCATGTACATTGACCCATGACCAGATGACATTATATATGCGTATATATATATATATATATATATATTTATGTATATGGGATATGAGAAAAAGGTTACGACGTTATATACATACCACCACCTGATCAGTTAGTATATACTGATGATGTTGTCCACAATGGCCAAGATGATATGATAGGATGCCCTCAATTGCTTGATGATGTTATGTACAACTATACCCATACATGACACGACATTTATATGCACATGCATGACATTATAAATGTATCAGAATTTACAAAGTTATACAGATTTACAATTGGATCTCTTTATTCCATATTTCATCTATGTCTTTTACGTACTGATTTTCATGCCTTACATACTCAGTACATTTTTCGTACTGACGCCCTATGTCACGTGACCTGCATTTCATGCCCGCAGGTGCAGATAGGCAAGCTGACGGTCCCCTTTGTTAGGACCCTTGATTAGCGAGAGTTGGCGTGCTCCACTTGATCCGGAGCTGCTTTTAATTTTGGTACGATATGCTTATATATATATGGCTCAGTCCCGTCTTTGTACAGTTGTATTTCTATTGGAGATCTGTAGACATTTATGTACAGTTGGATAGTATGTGGCCTTGTCGACTTTTAGTTTGGGTACATAGTTGTCTATCACGGCCTTGTCGGCTCGCCCGCTGTAATCTGCACGTATATGTATATGTCTTTTGGACAGGTTTTCCTCGCGTATATTATTCTCATAATTCAGTAGATATTATTCATGTTTATATCTTAGTCGCATGCTTAAGGGTATTCGAAAGGTAGGACTCAGACACTCGTCGCAACCCATCGGTTTGGGTCGTGACAAAAGTGGTATCAGAGCAGTTCTGTCCTATGGTTGTCTATAGACCGTATCTAGTAGAGTCTTGTTTATGAGTGTGTTGTGCACCACACTTATAGACAAGAGACTACAGGACATATAGGATGTTATCATCTCTTCTTATTTTAGATCGTGCAATATAAGAATTTATGTTCCTAACGAAATATTATATGTTCAGCGCCAAAAACTACAGCCGCCTAGAAGGGAAAGTTCGCGGCTGGCGAGACTACTAGTCGACCGCCATGAGTTACCAGGGCTCGGGGAGAGTCTCATAGTGAGATTCTATCTTAGACTTCACATGCCCCGCCCTTTCCAGAGGAGTTCTGAGGGGCACCAACTTCAGCGCCCGCCCCTGTACGTCCAGCTCCTCATCCAGATATTGCCAATCCAACCAAAATCAAAACATTACTTTGGCTCCTCCAACATAATAGACTACCTACACGCCATTACCTCAAATCTATTGGCATATCAACAGTAGCAAATTGTTCTACCTGTACGGCTGCCAATAAAACACTAAATCACATTTTTCTAACATGCCCTAATTCTCAACAATATTGGGATTCCAAAGGAATCTAGGGTTACATCAATAACCTTTCAACAATGGATTCACCTAAGCTTTGGCTACACCCACTCATACATTCAAAGGCACTTCACTTCCCACATAAATTGAACCCTCACACTTTTATACCATTAAGTCTATGGAATATCTGGCTTACCCATAATCGCAATCTCTACGACCACACATTCCTAACAACTAGTCCAAATTTTATGTTACATCAAGCTATTGAATTTGCATACATGGCTGCATCACAAACCACGCAACCTAATAAGGTATGTCTAAACCTTAGATCGATACCACCCAAATCAAATTTTTACAAATTAAATACGGATGGTGCAACCCCATGTAACACTGATACGGATGGCATCAGAGGAGTCATTCGAAACCACCTAGGTGCTTGTATCACACATTCACATTGTATCACAACAGAGTTGCAGGCACTCATACGAGGACTAAGTCTAGCAGTCCAAATACAACTATTACCACTGGAAGTGGAAATTGATGCGCAGGAGGTAATAACACTATTAGCTACAAACAACATTAGATATACTAATATGATTTCTGATTGCAAGCACCTCCTCAGGATGCTACATGATCCAGTAGTTCTACATGCGTACAGGAAACAAAATGGCATAGCGGATCAACTTGCAAAGTTAGGAAGTAGGATTCAATACGATGTTGCTCTACAAATTTTTGTTGAACTACCACTTTTTGTGTCCAGTCAGTTGTAGGCAGATCAACTAGGAGCCACTACTCAATGCATTGTTTCAATCCTATGAGCACGGGAAACAAACTATCAAAATACCCAACTATGTTTTGTTTGTAACTTGATAGCTC